CTCTCCGCATTGCTTGGATGCGTTCTAGCACAACGGTTTAGAATTTGCTTCGCTCAGCAGGACATTCCCATTGTTCTCCTCGTCCTCCCGCCGGCTTGCTGTTTGAGTGCCAGCAGGTGTATTCGCCACGTACATCATTTACAAGAAACTCTACAGATGATTGAGGCAACCAATTATCGCCTTTATATGTTACGTTTACTACATGAATGAGGAACGCGGAAGCAGTCTCAGCAAAAGCACCCCAAACACGCAAAAATAAATATATATTATGCCAAATGTTTATTTTTTATAGAGTAGGTATTGCTTTCCCCAGAAATTAGATGATAGGTGAACAAATGCCAGCAAGCTCTTATGTACATTTATATACCATAAGGTCCTGAAAGGATGCCCACCCAAAATGAAAAGGTAAATTGTGTGTGTGCATGCTTCAAAGGCTCCGGTAGTGTGCAGTACGCGGCAACGGTTTGCTAAAAGTCCCTATTTTTTCAGAATTACCTAAACAAATGCAACACGGTAAACCACTGTGGCCAATAAAAAAGAAAACTCCAATATAGCCTTAAGACAAAAAACACTTGTTTGGCTAGTTTTGGCGCAATATGTGCGCTTGTGAGCAGGATGGTGCAGCAAAAGTGGATTGGCGCACAATGGCGCCGCCATTGGCGCAGCGCAGTCGCAAGTGCCGATATTGAGTAACCATCAACTTTTGACTTCGGCCAACTGCATTTCATGGTTTCAATGGAACCATGCACACTAACTTTGCACAAACGTGCGCCACGGGATTCTGCGTCCAACTTGCCGCGACTGAGTGCATCACCGCCAAACACAAATGTGAGAACAAGTCTTTTTGGCTAAGGGACCGGATCAGAGGTCCGTCAGAGCCCTAAGGGCCGGAAAAAAAAATAATAGTATTTATAAAAAAGTAAAAACTAAATAAATATACCAAGATGAGTATTTAAAAGCAAAACTGAATATAGAAGTATTAAAAAAAAATTAAAGCCGTTTACAACTCTCTGTAACGCCGAATTAGAGCGGAGCTCTTGAGGAGGAGGAGGGGAAGGTACGGAGAGGAGGCTACGCCCGTTTTCCTCGCCTCCCATTTAGGGGAAAATTTTCCTCTAAATTTAGCGGGGAAATTTTTCCCGCCTGATTTAGCCGGGAAATTTTTTCGCTAGTTTTTTTTTGCTAGATTTAACAGGGGAATTTTTCCACAAAATTTTGCGGAAAAGTTTCCTCGCTAGATTTAGCGGAAAAATTTTTCCGCTGAATTTAGCGTGCAAATTTTTCCGCTAAATTTAGCGGGAAATTTTTCCGCTAAACTTAGCGGGGAAATTTTTTCCGCTAAATTTAGCGGGGAACGCTAGATTTAGCGGGGAAATTTTTCCACTAGATTTAGCAGGGAAAATTTTTCTGCGAAATTTAGCAGGGAAATTTATTTTCGCTAGATTTAGCGGGGAAGTTTTTTCGCTAGCTTCAGCGGGGAAATTTTTCCACTAAATTTAGTGGGGAAATAATTCCGCTAGATGTAGTGGGAAAATTTTTCCGTTAAATTTAGCGGGTAAACTTACCAATAATGCACCGTGCAGTTACGCCGACGCCGCTCAAGCCGGAAATGGGCGTCTAAGAGCTGTGCTCTAAAACGTAAGGTGGATGAAAACGTATATTTCAATTTGAAATTCAAGATTTAGCTAATTTTGAAATTACATAACCACGGTGACCGAGAAAGCTCACCGGGCTTTCGAAGCGCCGGGAAACTGAAGCGCCGAGAAACTTTGGCATATTCACGCAGTGCAAAAGAGAAATAAGAATGATAAAACTAAGGTTGCCAATATGTAATAGTTGTGACAGAGAACACTAAGCACAATGCACGCGAGAAAGCAAAGGAATTTTAACATAGTGACAAAGACACGAAGCGGGGGACTAAAGGCCGGCCCCTGGGGCGATTATGCTGCGAAAAACCGACGAATTTCGCCCGGCGGCTTTCGTTCTGCACGTGGCATCAGCACAGTGGCTGCTATGTCAAACACAAAGCTAACGTGTCGTCGAGCGAAGTTTGTCAGTTATTCATTGCATAATTTGATCTGCAGAGTTCAGGCTTAACAATGGTGATGCTAGTGATGATGATGAATAGTATGTCAAAAGGACCCGCATTACGATGCTGTTTATCTCATTCTTTTTGGTACCTTCGTTTGCACGTTTGTAGCATTTTTTTACGCTCACTTTTTTTTTTGTGCCGGTAGCAGCGGGCCTGCTGGAAACGGTCCGCGGTTTGCACCTCGTTAGAAGGACTTCGGCCAGCCGCGGGCCTGTCGGAAGATTTCCGCGGGCCAAAGTTTGGAGACCTCAGCTATAGACCGATCAAAAATTATCTGCCCCATTGACTGATAAAATCCCTCAAGCTAAATTTTAAAAAGTGAAAAACAGCAGTGTGGAATGCCATTTGCTCCATGTCCGCAGTCCGCTTTATCAGATCCCAAATACTTACCCACTCCCCCACTCCCACTACTTACACGTTTCGTGGTGCCGGACGGGAAAAGAAATGTAATGGCATTAAATAACCGTGGCTACGTTAGTCTCCTTCTCGGTGCAGTGGCCGAGAGTCAGGCTTGCAAGCGTGGAATCATGCATTTGATTCTACTTGGGGACGTCGGGAATTTAGTTCTTTTCTCTCAATTTATCCACTTTCCACTTTCCCATGCATACGCATAAGTTTCGTGTTACAAAATATCATTTTTCTGGAGGACGGGGAGTAAGGCAGGGGGGAGTAAGGCAGGGGGGGGCTATTAAAAGAAATGTTTTAGCATTTAAAACACGCCAGCATCCCAAAATTAACGGTATCTCCTGTAGAGGGTGCACCTTTCTTTGCAGCGGTGCGCGTGGGGAAAGCGCCTCGTCAAACGCAGGGTTTGTTGCATTTATGCGAGATTCCAAAGGAACAAACCTTCGACAACTAACAATCAAAATAAAAGAAAACGTAAATTAAGGAACTGTATCATTGTTCCGGCTTTTGTGCCGTAAGTAGGAATCGAGCAAAAAAATTGATGGTGGCAGATGGTTAATGTGTCAGGACCTTAAGACGTGCAGCATTAGAACTGATATGACAACTGACAAAACCCCCTTCCCCCCCAGGTGTAGGGATATTTTAACTCATCTAACGTCAGAGAAACACTAAACAGATCTAGTGGATTTTCCAAAACAGGCTCCTTATTGAAAACGCTAAAAGGCATAAAGCGGACGAAAACTGAAGAGGCTATATTTTTATCGCACACAAGCCGCAAACATCAGATAACGTAGGCCCATGCCCACAGGAAAACAAGTATGACCCGACACCAAATACCATCTGAAGTAAGAAAGGCAGCTGCATCCTTGGTGCAGCAAACGGCCAGCAGGAATGCAAGTTAAAAAAAAAAAGTGATCTAGACGGAAGACGACCAAGGTCTGCCGCAACAAAAATCCGATTGCACTTACGCCGTCGCATAATGTGAGTGGCATAGACGGCAGCTCGGCGCTCATGTAACTTGCGATCATTGTGGCACCGCTGTTGTCTCTGCACATTGCTGAGATCAACAATGCGGCGACGGCGACATCCCTGTCATGCCCGTCTTTCCCGTCAACCCGCCGGGTCAACGATGCATGGATTGCATCCCGCAAGTTGTGCCTAACCTCGTCCAAACATACGCCCTCATAAACTGTGACCTGGGATTGCCGGCACAGGTGCGAGCTCTCCGCAAGAAACGGCGCGCTCCGGATGAAGCGGAGGTATACGAAGTTCTTGGCCTCACTCCTGGGTGCCGGATCACAAGCGCAGCAGGCCGCGTTATTGCCGACCAACAACGTACCCTCGAGCCGTGGAAGACTACTGGCACAGACGCATCCAAAAACAGGGTGAGCTCCACCGCGCGAGTTGTCCTAGTATTTCAAGTTGACAGCAGCCAGGCTCGTGTAAGACGGACAGTGAGTCAGCTTTGCCGCCCGGGTGTGCTGTGCACGAGAGGGATAGAGCAACGGTTCGGGCAACAGGCACTGACTGCCACCAATGACTCGTGAAGTCCCTATTAGGGACCTGGAGAAGATGGACCCTTCAAAAAGAGCAGAGTACTGCTCCGACGCATGCACTTTCGATCGACTCGCTTAAATCACGTCACGCCGACAGTTACTTGTATATAGTCGTATAAATAAACCAGTATATACTCGCAGCTGAAGGCGCTCCGACTTCACTCCGGGTAAGCTACCTGGGTCGAGTCCCGGCAATGCAAAGGCATCCACCAGGGCGCAGATCTCGGAATTTTCGTGGCATTACCACTTCCGCTTCCGATCCCACTCCCGTACCCGAACAGCACTCTGTCTATGGCGATCCTTCTCGGCGCGCCGTAACTGAACGTCACGTCCTTTGGACTGGCTCCATAATTTCCGAGGTCTAGCTGTAAGACAGGCAAGTTCGTCTGCTGGGACGGCCATGCGCATGCTCATTGCTTTCCGACACGTGCTCTCGCTGCACGTGCGAGCGTTTTCTGTAGGCTTAGAGCTTTATTTTTAGGTTAACGCCCAATAAGGTGCTTCTTTATAGTAGGCAGTCTTTCTGGCATGAGGAATGGCTTGCAAAGTCAATGTTTTAAACATAATTGTACCGATCAGAGTGTGGCTTTTCGCAACGTTTTGTGGCTCCCAAGATATACTCGTAACAGTCCACACTGTACTAATTTTTCTATCGATTTCTGCTGCCACACATGGAAAGGTGCCTCTTTCACCATCCTTCTCTTCGTCACGGACGGACAATTCTGTCGCTTCTAACTAGAGCAAGCTACTCCCCCCGCCCCCCCTTTCTGAAATGCCTCCTTCTAGTACTCTACCACCCCTTCGAATCACGAAGAATGCCCCGACGCCGTCCTCAATTGCTTCCACGATCGACCGGGCTAATACAGGGTCTACACGCTTCACGGACGAAGCACGGCACGGAACCTCAGCAGAAGCAAGGTCCGATCCGAGGCATGCAGAACACTCACGCTGGATGTCGGCGCAGAAGATCTCCCGCAGCGCTCGGAACTCCGGTCCTCCCTCAGGCACGTTGCCGGAGTCCTCGGCACCGAACATGTCCTGGTCTGGCCACACCTCCCTGGAAGCACGCAGCAGGGCGACGGCCCTGGCCGGAAGGTTAGCCTTGAGCGCCGTCTGGATGCGGGAGAGGGCGTCCAGCCTGGGGAAAACGAGGGTGCAATGGGTAATCAGATGTTCAAACAGACCCCCCGAACCGTTTTGTAAGTGAAGCAGAAAATAGAAGACGGACGTCCCAGCAAAATTCGCCTCTTTCTTGCAGGACAGTCGTGGCAAAGGCAGTGGTGACATAGCATGTACCGCGCGTTGCTTCGTAGCAACGTTGCCCGGAAGAACTCGGTAAGCATTTTACGCCTCGATGGCGCGAAGGTCATCGTCTGCAGGCGTCTCCGAGAGAAAGCCCTGCCAAAGCTAGTGCTCCGGCGGGAGTGGAACGAGAAGTGTGAGCCTCTCGCAGTTGCACCCTATCGGTGCTTCGCAACTTCCCGTTTCCTCCAAAGCATGTGCTTGTCCTCTCCCTGCTCGCCTCCCCCACCTATGTGCTCGCTTCCCACTTCCTGCACCTCGTCTCGCAAACTTCTGCTGTGCTGACAAAGTCACAGGCGCGAGCAGATGGTTTAGGAAAGGGCCCTCTACATAAGACCTCTTGTGCAAACAACAAATTCTGCTGAACTAACCCCACATACCTGTGCCCATATTTGTACTCTAGACAAAGGGTCTCCAAACCCCTGCTTGCAAGCCACACCCGGCCCCCGTAGTTCTTCCAACTGGTTCGCAGCTGACTGCAGTTCTTCCAATGAATCCCAACCCACCGCCCGCTTAAAGCAGGTTCGCTGCTATTGGCGCAATAATAAGAATGCATAAAAAAATGGCAAAGCAATGCAGACCATTTGGGTGTGTGAAGATATACCAGAAAAAACGAGATAAGACTACCCGTCTAAGGTGTGTCCTCTGGTCACATTCATTGCACTTTGTCATCACCAGCATCACCATTCTTAGTCCCCTGTTTTGAATCTGTGTAACTATTCATGTTAGAAGTCTTTCGCATTCCCATGTATATTGTACATAGTGTCCTGTGTCGTATCTAATGCACATTGTTAGCATCAGTTGTACGATTCTCTTTGGTCTTCTGCCCTGTTGGAGCATGCCAAAGCTCTTATGCACTTTGATTTATGCCTGGTGAGGTTTCTGGGTCCCAATTATTGCTTAATGTCATTATTAGCTAAATATTGAACTTTATTTTAAAGTAGATGCATGCATCCACCTCATATTCTACTTTTTTTAATTTTACAGAAGGAGCTGTTAAAGGCCAGTTTACATAGCATCGTGCCCGTCAGCAAACAAATGATGACACAAAACTCTGCTGTTCAGTGTTTCTACTCTACCTTCCTGACTTGTGGCCGGCCATTACTTCATTCCCATTATAGTACAGCTTCGCTGGTCCTCCTTCTTCACCAAAATGGTGAAGGAGCAGGACCAGCTCTAACTTTTAATTTTGTATTTAAATGCTCATCTAGGATTACTCATATATTTTTTCAACATTTATATTTACTTGTTAATTTTGCAGAACTCGACGCCAACAAATCCCCAATCCGGCCCCCAGCTCAAAAAGTTTGGAGACTCCTGCTCCAGACCCTTGCGGGAGTATGAGGAATATGGCCATTGTGTTCATATTTCTATGTCATCTACTGCGGGCCAGTCCGGGCATAAATGCGACATCACTGCCGCATAGGTGTTGGCTCGGCTCCACATCCAACTGGCGAGGACCCGAGCTCTAGTCGAACGTCAACGCGGTGTGCATGTGACGCACCTTTGTTACGAGAGAGTGTCTCAGGAAACTGATAGCAGCCAGGCATGCAACGCATTCTGCATTAAAAAGCAAATCAGAGGTTGAATGTTTTATTCAGCAAGAGGTCGGTGTGTCCTTAGGAAACTGGTTGGCAATGTAGATGAGCAATTTAGCCATTGCAGCGGGACTGCTGAACTGGGGTTCGAGGAAAGTTGTCAGATAAAACCTTCCAGCCTTTCCACTCTGGTGAAGAAGGAGGAGCAGCGAAGCTGCACTATATGCCGCCATCTATGAGCAACGGCAGCTGGTTGTCTGGTCGTCGCCGTCGCTCACAGATGCCAGTAGCTGTCCAGAGGTTTGTGTCGAGATTTATTTGTCCGTGGACACAAGACGGGGTAAACTAGCCCTTAACAGCACCACTGTAAAAAGTTGGCAGTCGTTCCAGACCAGACACACCAAAGAACCATGATGGCATCGTGTCCCATCATGGACAAAAAGTGGAGAGTCAAAGAAACAAAGGGACATCTGTGGAGACAGAAAGGTAAATTGGGATTCATGGGCATATACAACTAACGAATGAATACATTAATTTGCCGGCAGTGTTCAAAGTTGCCCGAGATCCACTCGAGCAAGCCAGAGCAAGAGTCTGCATGAACAACTCGCGCTCGCTGTGCTCGGTTCTGTGGTGCGCTCATTGTTTTAATTTAGAGCGCAAAGTATTTTTTTTGCGGTATTAAGAGGTGCGACTCTATAAATTAATTACATATTTCAATGCTCACTTGCACTGAGGCAACCTCAGCAAGCACCAAAACCTGAGGTACCCACAGGTCATTCCTCAAACAGGGGTGAAAGGTTCAATTGCAAGTCGATTTTCTTCTTTCTTTTATTTGTTTGGAATAAGAATAAAGCAGGTTTCTAGAAAGCCTACTTGCATTTTGGGGGGATCCAAGAGGGGTGAAGGGAGCGCAGTGCAGTACATCATTTAGTGCCTTACTATGAATCAACTCCATCTCCATCCACCGTGAAAATTTAATAGATGTAGTGCTAAATTACCCAAGCACCAAGGAGAATGCTGGAATGTATGTACACGCGGTACACGGACATACCTTCCCTGTATAAAAGATTAGAAGTAAATAACCAAAATAAAGTGTTGACAAACGCACATGCAAGATGCCATTTGTTTTAGGCATTTGCTTTAGAACAGTTAATGTTGCAGACGCCAGCAGGCGAAACGCGTGAAACTACACTTGCTGCATGTTCCTTGGTGCTCGGGTAATTTAGCAGATGTCAACTGTTCTGCGTGTCTTCCAAGCCTGCACTACCATAGCCCTGTAAGATTGCGTCTAGAATTCGTGTCTGTTCTTATGTGATGTCACGTAGTAATTTAATTAAAACCGTTTTACACATCGTTATACAAATTTTTTACGATAGACAGTCAATGATTCTTCGATTCTCTCTTGGTGGACCTACCGTATTTACACGAAAGTAGATCGACTCATTTTTCAATTTTTGAAAATCTGAAGGGGGGGGGGGGGGGAGGTCGACTTACATTCATAGTGGCACTTCTTGTAGAAGCCACTCCGGAGGCCGCTGGAACAGCCTCACGGCTTACACCCCGCGGCTTCTTTTCGCAGTTTTTCGCTCGATTCATGGTCGCACGTCATTCGATCGAGTGTCAAGATCATGCTAGATTACATGCAAGATTGCGCTGACTACTTTTTTTTTTTTTTTTTTTTTTTTTTTTTTTTTTTTTTTTTTTTTTTTAATTGATACGCGTGATTCGAGCAGTTTGGGTTTTCGGTGCTCGTTTATGGCCATTCTTCACCCAGAAGCAACAAACAACTGCGTTGTTGGACGGAAGTTCCAACAGACCAAAGTCTGGATAGGTGGGATGCCTTCCGGAGCTGGAGGTCAGGCTCGCAACGTACGCCGCAAAAGCGTGCAATCGGTCCCTACCCGTGACGTGCAACGCGGTCGCTGAGCAAGCATGGAAGATGCGGTTGATGCTGTCATTTGCGAAGTGCGAGATTTCATTAGACGACACCGACGACGTGCTTTGAGAATGCAGCAGTGATGACGACGGGACTGACATCACCAGTGCAGACGAGTCGTAGTTATAGTTGCAGATGGAGTGAGAACGACAGGGAGCAGCTTCTGCTGTCCGGCCTCCAGCGTGAACTTCCTAGTTTCGATGATGCCTGGGCATCTCATGCACCTCGCGCGTGCATGCGCAGCCAAAGCACCCCAGAAGGCATCTATCACGTGTTGGGGGCTCGGCTTTCGAAATGGATACTCTGCCGTTCCCATGTGTTCGCAGTAAAATGCATATCTAAAGATTTTTTTCTTTTTTTTTTTGCTGATGTGCAATATGGGGGGGTCGACTTACAATCGTGTAAATACGATACGTCTGTTGTCTCTGCACGAAAGAATTCTAAGAGAAATACAACTCTTGCGCCAAACTGTAGTTGCTTCTCTTGATTTCGCAGAGTTGCTGAGGGAACTGAGGCCTAGTGTACAATCCGAGAGGAACTCTAAATGATGGAACTTTTTATCCCGATGTGCGAGCCACTTCCCCAGTGACACACTTGCAACAGACCTATAATGCCATGTTTATTAACAAAAACATTCTTGCTCGATTTTACTGCTCTGTATCTGCTGCATTTATGCTTGTACAGAACAGTACACAGCTGCTCAACTACTCAAAGAGGCACTCGAATTAATCTATGAATCTATGTACCTATAGTGTTTGCAGGATTAATGACAGAATGTCTAAGATGGTAGACTGTGATGCTGCTAAATGCCATGTCGGCTTCTTCTTACAGGGATGCAGAACCGAAATTTGGATTTCACAAAATAAGGCAGCAGAAACGTTGAACGGTATGCTACGAACTCACAAACATCACTCATACATCGATATTTCAAATGGATGGCCATAGTTTTGGAAAAGAAGGGCACAGTCAAGCAAGGGCTATGACATCAGGATCCTTCTGGAACAGCTGAAAATGAGGGGAAGCAGCCTCACTTTTCTCCTCCTCGCTTCGGTTCACCTGCTCGAGGGGACGAAGCAAAGAGGAGAGGGAATGAGAATCGTGACGTCACATGTCTCGTCAGACTCATCGGCCATGTTTTATCGTGCACTTCTTTTCCGAAAATACGGCCATCTTTTAGAGATATCGCCGTACAAGTGATGTTTTTGGCTTTTGCAGTGACCCGCCTACCACGCCAGCCTTGTTTTGCGAGCTGCTAATTTCGGTTCAGCATCCCTTTAAATGTCCCTTAAAGCAATTAGTAATTCCCCAAAATAGCAAGATTTTGACAACTGCTTTAAAGGGGGAACTCAAAACATAGTGAAAGGACCCCAAGAAAAAAAATGGCATTTCACCTCGAAAAATTGGCTAATTTAGTCTTTCTGCACACTAGGGACCGACTGATATTTACAGGAGGGCTGCACTGCCATCAAACCACTTCAAGTTGAAAGTTACTTCTTGCAATTTGCAAGCTAGAGTCTAAACCTTTAATTTCTGTAGCATGGCAGAAAGCACAGATCCTCAAAATGTGATCCAAGTAGTTCTCAGCAGAAGAAGTGCCAACAAAGAAGGGTGTCTTTTTCGCCCGCAATGTGCAAAGAAGTAAAAGCCAATAGCTATAGCATGCTCGCACACCTCAGGACCTCAACATCGCAGTGTACGCGCGGCAAGGGCGGCCTCTCGTAGGTGGTCGGTGTAAGCGCAACACAGGCCGCGAGCCGCGGAAGCCGGCCGTTCCGTCTGCGCTTGCTCCTGGGACGGAGTACAGCTTTGGCGCGGCGGCTCCATTAGGCAGAGTCTGCGGCAGTGACGACTCAAGCGAAGGTGCAGGTTTTCCCGGTGTTGTTGAGCGGTGAAGGGAGGGGCTCTACAGGAGACGCGGGTCCAAGGCAACGAGTTTTCGCAGAACATATTTCATGTTTCGAGTTCGGTTTGAGCAGTTGAGTTGTTTCAGCGAAGTCGAACGCGGTGAAAGTTTCTAAAACTCCAATGTTACACGTAGCAACTGGGTACTGCCAAAGTGGGATTTTGTATAACGCGAGTTATGTTTAAAAAAGCTTGAGGTACGCCTAAGCACTTCTTAGGACTTGTGAATGCAAAAGCATGTACATCATTCTTACACTCCCTTATTTCGTCTGCAGCGTATTTGCGTCTACGACAGAGCAGCGCGCTCTGCCGGCGAGGAAAGGGCTCCTCTCCTCGCCACAGTGACCTTGGATGCTTTGTGTTGGCGGCGCGCTGACAGACAAGCAGCGCCATGGGGTGAGCGGTTGTTGAAACAGACGCACAGCGACCAATGGGAGCCTTGTCGACGCGCCAGCCAATGGGACCGAAGCCGAAATCCATCAGCTTTACTCCGCTCCTTCGGCATCAGGGAAACTAGGTGCCATTGTCTAGGCTTTTCGCGCGGTTCGTGTGGCTGGGAACTGGCTTCACTTGGAGAAAGGATTTAAGGTGCCGTTTGGCGCGGTTTCAAAGCTGATGATGTCAGCTCGCTCCATGAAAGAATTAATGCTTTCGCATTAAAAATGCCCGTCTTGAAGTTATTGTTAGCAGACAACAGGAAAGACAGTTCCTCATTGTCAACCTCGTTATTGGTGGGTGCTTGGGGTTCTCCTCTTTTCCCTCTTCGCACAGTGTGGTCAATGGGAATGCTTGGTTTCTCTGTCCTCGTGCTATGAGGGGAGAGAAGGGTCTTTCCATCTACACTGCGCCACACTTGGCGCAGCGCAGATGGGAAACCAACACCAAAATCCCTTCGAAGTGTCACTGGCAAAGCTAGCACTTTAAAAGATGGTGCCTCAAAGAAACCTACTTCTTCTCTTCCTCGGTGTTGTCCAGGGTGGAGTCGTAAGGCACAACATCTCCTGGAAGTTCCTCTTCTCCCCGCAGTGCCAGGGACAGCCCGCTGGCAACTTCTAGCCACAGCTTCTCTTGGTCTTCTTGGCCTCCCTGACCAGCGGCTCCTAGACGGCAAAATCAAAGATGAGGAAACCAAAAAGGGTGACTCAACAGAGAAACATTTCCCGTCGGCTGAATACACTGCCGTGCGGGTCAGGATAAAAGAAATCCTGCAAAATGTTTCCAACTACCATTTCTAAACTTGCCCAGTTTAACTGTAAACTGGCATGCGACATTGCAGAGGCCAAGCCACAAAAGAGTTATTATAACAACTTCAATTCGTTAAAGTATTAAAGGCCTTGCTGGTGACAAAATTTCAAGAAGGGGTCGGAATGACAGGGGCATTTAGTGACTGAGTGATGTATTTTATTTTAGGGGCGAAGCTCCTTAGGGTCTAGCCTTGTCCGGCATCCGTGCTCACATCAATTGCCATCCCATCTGTCTTCTTAAAAAAAAAAAAATATGTTTGCGCAGTCGACAGGATTCGAACCTGTGCGGGGAGACCCCAATGGATTTCTAGTCCATCGCTTTAACCACTCGGCCACGACTGCGGGACGAATAGGGGGCGAGATCTGGTAGTAACTCAAGAGCTGGGGATGTCATAGATGAAACGTTGCATGTAGCCGCTCAATGTCTATACAGGAGAGGGCACTGCGGTCAAATGCGTATATAATCACGTTAAACTTTGCATGCATTGGCTCAACGTTTCTAGACGAGAGGATGCTGTGGTCAAACGCTCAAATCCGTATATAAACACGTTCCATACCACACAATCTCTTTCTGACATGGATGAAAACGAACAAAAAGCTCGGCATGCTCTGGCTCAGCGTATCAGCACCACCAGAGCTTCGCCTCAATCAACATCATTCACCACAGGGAGATGCGGTCATTTTTTAAAGGGGCCGAAGTGTTAACGAAGTTCCGAGGTGCCTCTCGAAGATGCGAACGAGGACCCTATTCGCGTCTCCAGCTCGACGCTCGCCCTCCCGCGGCGGAAACGGGAAGCGCTCTAGTGAGGGTCCCCCGATTCTCCTGCTCGGCGGGCATGGCGGAACTGCTCACGATCATGGCTCGCGAAATGTCGTTTCCGAATGCAAACAACACTCTTCACTGTCCCAACGTAGTGCTGCAGCCGGTATGGGATTGTACCTTACTGGAGAGATTTAGTATTGCGCATAGAAGCAAACGCAAGTGGTGTGCGTTCGCGTAGAGTTGCGTGCCCCACGTTGTTCGTGTGCCTCATCGCCATGCGCCATCCAAGACCGTAATTTCAGGCTCCGCGCACGCGCAGTGTGGAACGCGCAAAGCTAACGCAAACACACAGGGCTTGAGTTCGCTCGTATACGCAATATTAAAATTCACTACTGTTTCACCGGCTTCCAACGCCAACGAAACGTGCTGCAGTGAGAAGACGTGCAAGCAGGCAGGCGTTCCTTCGAACTGGAAAGACTGAGATGGGAAAAACGACGGCGAGCAAATACAAAAGTAAATAAATGTTATGAAAAAAACTAATAATTAAAGAAAGGCTTTTTTTTAACTTTTGGGCATTTGGTCTGGAAGTATATTGGCGGCGACTTTGGACGTTTCGCCGATTGTCAAAAGTCGCGACTTTGATAGCACAATATACTTTACCCACAATTAATGTAATTTTACATGGATTTCTCACATGAGCTAGAATGATTTCATTGATGTTAGACTATTTTTATATTATTTGTAATTAAAATGCAGCAATTGGAACCAGTGATGATAATTAGCACATTTTTCATTGTCATATTTCTTCGCGTGTTTAAAATTAGATCATAAGCAAAAAAATTATATTAGAGCGTGAATAATTACTTATTCATATACGTGAATTTTAATATTATTATTATAATACAAATCGCGGCAATGTATGCCTCTAATTAACGCCAAGATCACGAGAATACTCAATTTAACCATAATAGTCTTTCCAGAAAGGTATAAATCTGTTTTCTTTTTAGCATATGAAAAACTCTGACATATTTATCAAGATAACAGTTAAACGCTGGATGTAATATGGAGTCCTACGCGTCACGCGGTGCTATAAAAACACACACACACACACTTTAGCTGTCTAACTCGGATTTCGTCTTGGGTTGTTGCAGTGAGAGCAGCTTTATTAGTTTATGCGTTTCGTGGACATATTGTAAAAATTGGAATTATTCTCTCATTCTTGTGCTAGGATAATTGTCATTATTTCCCATGACAATTATCCGAGCGAGAAAACGGCAGCGAGAACGCACAGATATCAGCACTGATTTTTTCAACAACTACGAATATCAGCCTGGATCGAACAGTATGTCACAAAATAAAGTTTCCGCAAACAACTTTTCCAAGTAAGTAATTACGATGTGAGACACATCTTGAGTCATGAAAGAAACCGAAATTAAGACCTCTGTCGAGAAATTAAATCCAAAATAGAGGTAAGTTTCGGTTTCGCTCCAGAATTAAAACGCGCATCCTTCCGTAATCAATACGCTAAACACCGTTCTTGTTTTCAGGCTAAAGAGGTGACCTACGCTCATAAAACATTAACTTCCTCGTATTACCAGAAATAATTTGTGTCGCTCAGTGAAGCCAGCACACGAGACAGGCTCAACAGCGGCAGGCATCTCTGACCCTCACTAAACCCGCCATCTTGGAAAATGAGTGGCGCCACCTATAGTTAGTTGGAGTCGCGAATACTGCAAAGCATCCAGAGAGCACTTTTTCCCCAAACGCCTCTCCTGGACACCACTCTTGTCATTACTGTTTGCCAACCAGATCATAACTAAAATTCAGTGTTCTTGGAGTTTACTTTTCGTAAAATTCAGAGGGTTTTCGAAAATTCAGGGTTCATGTCAGTTATCTTTTATTTATACTTTCGATTCTGCAGAATTCTGAGTTTTATTTTACTGTGTTCCCAACCTTTTTCACTAAAAACAAATTTTTTTTTTAAATATCTGATTACAAACATAACTTTAAATCTTAAAGGGATACTACAACGAAATTTTGGCGCTCATTTTTTGGTCTATATGTGTTCAGAAAAGCAGCATCACATCGATCATACCAATACCTTGTTAAAAAAGTCACGAAAAGGAATTTTAAAACGAATTAGGTAAACGATTAGCAAAGAGCACCTGGTGGATGTCGCTAACGCCTCGCTTTTAATGCCCGTCTAGGAACCTTGACAGCTAGTGACGGAGGTTGTCTCGTCTCCGGCCACGACGAGAGAAGAGGGGCAGGAGGAACTCCACTCTTCCCGAGAATGCCTTTTGTGTGTCGCAGAAGTCGCTATTGTCCCCCTACAAGATTATAGAAGATTAACCAGTCACTCAAAATTCGTACAAAAGCAGCCGCTTCGGTGGCTGGAACGACTAGGCCATCCTCTCGACGTCAGCCTCGCCGTAGCTTTGCTCGTCTTGAGACGACCTACGTCACGATTGCGTTGGATGTCACGTGGTCTCCGCTGGGCCTTCTCCGAGCGCTTGCCAGAGTGGGCCGTTTATAATGAAAAATACAGTCACCAGGCTCAAAATACAAACGTGCGATTGTCATTTACGGATATTGTGGATCATATTCAACCTATTTTTGAACACGACAGGAATATTTCAAATTTCATTGAAGTATCCCTTTAAGAGGTCGCCTGAATTGAACGATATTTTCGCGGCTGCACTTGGCATTGACGTCTTTGCCATTCACAATACTAACTGCCTTGTGAGACATCTTGCAAAAAGTTTTGCTTCAATTAACATCAATACCTTTAAATAACTAAACACCGGTGGACGTAGTTGATGTGAAGCATAGAAGCTCCAGTTGCCCTGCCCCCTCCAATGAAATCAAAAGGTTCGCAGCTTTCACTGTTACAAATACAGAACCCTCCTCCTTCTAAGAAGCAGAAATATTATGCTCCAAACTAAAAACCGGGACAGTGGTTTTTGTCATGACCCAGAAGTTCAATGACAGAGTGCCCTGAACAAACATTGACCAGATAAACAGTGCCCTTTTGCCAATAGTCCAATGCCAATAGATTTTAATGGAAACTGAAGTGGCCAGTTCTCAGGACCACTGACCCTGTGCTCTCGCAAATCTTATTCATAAAACACCATTTTTCTTTCTTCTTTTTTTTGACATTGTGATTGAAATCTAGAACTTTTTGGACAAATCTGAAATGGCGAAAATTTTACCGGCGAGTGCTTTTCAGAGTTTTTCAGATTTATCCGAGAACACGGAACTTGCCATAACCAGTCGCATTTCCCGATGACCAATGCCTCGACCCGAACGGCGTCCCTTTCTTTTCCTCTTCTTGATGCCACTCTCCATGCTACCACCGTGCAAGGACGATGTATGCGTCTTCTCATCTTTCCTTCAACACATTGCGTTTCAGGAAAGCATACATTAAGTTTGTTGAACAGAATCCTAACTTGGACTGTTTTATGTGTATTAAATGTTGTGACTAGTTGCACTCCTGCCATTGACGGGTGCCACCAAGTTTCCTAAATACTCGTGTCTCAATATAAATGTTCTTCGTGCGCCATTCTTTGGAACGGGATCTCGTTCTTTTTTTCAATGCTTCGACATAACGGATGCGAAACAGGTCAAGCCACGTAGGGAGAGGGCTTGAAGTATCGAGCACAGGCAAGGGTCAGCCCGAACTCTGGCTTGCCTCCAGCCGGTGGTCTGGCTTTAGGCTTGGGCTTGCTGCGGGGCTTCTTCTTCGACTTGACGACCACGTGGCTGTGCTTCTTTGTAAACTGCTCCAGCATCTTGACGTAGACGTGCACCATTGCAACCAGGTCCCTCAGGTAGGAGCTGAAAGTATAAAATACTCTTAGAATGATGAATTCAGATGGCACTAAGTGAAAGCAACTTTAAGTATAAATAGGGCTTTGTATTTTTGGAACTAATTTTTCGTAAAATTTAGAAGGAATTTTTTTAGTTTACTTCTTACCAAGAATTCAGAGATTATGAGAGTTGATTAAACCTAGCCCTTAACAGCGGAGCTGTTAAGGGCTAGGTTTCCCAGGATCGTGTCCGGTATGTCGACACAAACCTACCTGGACAGCTACCACCATCTATAAGCGACAAGCACACAACCAGTACGGTTTCCGCCGTCGCTCGTAGATGGCGGCAACCTTTCCACCTATAATAGAAGAATCAATAGTTGGGCGCGTTGGTGGGAATTCATCGTAGGAAACAGCGTGAAAAACAGATGATGACGAAGAAGAAGAACACAGTGTATCGAGTACAACCCCGCTGGTCTTCCTTCTTCACAAGAGTGGAAAGACGTTTTTGTTAGATTTCAAATTCTCCAAAATTTAGAGTTTAATTCCACTGCATTGTGAATTTTTCAAAATGTAAAATAAAGATCAATAATGCATAGAAAGAAACATACCATATATTTGTAAAAACTCGCCTGCATTGAATGGTAATTCTTTGACTGGATGTGGCATTGGTACACTTGCCATTGGCAATACTAGGTAACTGTCCCATGACAAAACTTGCAAACAAGTGTTGGTTCAATAAACATCAAACATTAGTTATTATAGAAACAATCGTTCCTCCTAGCATCCTTTTTTTTTGCAGTGGTTTTTGGTTTAGTTTATTCACATTGCCAAATGAAACTTCAGTATCAGTTTTGTGTATTACTACGGTATTCATGCACTAAAATAGAAAAGCTTTTAGCATCACAAAAAGCTGGGGGGAAGGGTTTACGACACAATATTTTATATTTTGGTGGGTCGCAGGGTAGCAGAATTTGGAAAGCATTGGACTATTGAATATGTGCATCATAAAAAAAGCACGTAAAATTTTCAAGAGACCATTCTGAAGTTTTGACATCTTTTGGAGCTAATACTGTATGACAGCTACAGTCGAAGGTCACCCCAAAATGACATAGCCCCAAAAAATGCCCTAAGCAAAAATTAGACCAAAGTTAAAAAGAAATAGTTTATGAATATCGATGAGAAAATTACTATCCTTAGTAAGGGATTTTACAATAAACTGGGAGAAGCAGGAACTATTGCCCTATTTACTCAAATATAAGTCAACCATGAATGTAGGTCGATGCCTTTATATTAAACTCGCCGAAAAAAAAAAAAAAAAATGTTAATATAGGTTTGCCTTTTTTCTTTTTTTTAAAGAACAGAAGAAAGTTTGGGCAAAAGAAAGAAACCTTTTTTTACGGTGCTCTCAGCTAAATCACGGCACAGCGCCAAAAATTTTGTCATTGTCAGAACTTCCGGACATGACGTTGTCGTCGGAAGCTTTGTCAGCTTCGTCGACATCCTCACAAATTCGCAACAATATTTCACTGGGCCTCACTGACATCGGTGCAAAATGGCGACAACAAGAAACAAAAGAAGGTGGGGACGGGCAAAGCCAGGAGACCAAATACAAAGCGACCGGGAAAGGGGACAAGGTGCGTTGCATCCTCCTCCTTCCCATTCCCCCTTGCCTCGCAAAGACATGCATACTTAAAGCTTTCTGCAACAAGAAGCGACTCAGTGACTCGATAGGTCTATGCGCTCGGTAAGGTCGCGAAATTTGCTCACGAATGTACCTAGGTCGAAATTCTCTGATTACGATTATAGGTCGACCCTAAATTTTTGACATTTACGAAAAAAAACAACAAAAAGTTGACTTATATTTAAATAAATACGATAGGCATTTTTATTTGGTTCATCTTCGAAATAGCACTTCTGGGGAACCAACAAACAGCAACCACCGACTATAAAACTTACACTTTATTAGTTTCTCTCCAGAAGATGAGTTCATAAATTAAAAAAAAAAAAAAATACTTGCTGCTTGACAAGTGATAGAGTGTTATCTGTTCTTCCCCATGATAGCCTTCTTGATGAACGGCTCCACTCCGGGAATGATCACTAACCAGGCACATTAATGGCCAAGTTCTGATGTGACTGCTGAGGGAGGACACGCATCTTACGGTAATCCATGAAGTGACCCTTCAAATCTTGGGCCTGTCACTCACGAGCAAACTTGTTTCCAGAAAATGAGATGCAATTAGGATAACCAACTTGTAAGAGGAACCAAGAGTTGACAAAACGGTAATTATGCAAGCAAGTTGGTCAGAGTTTCTGATGTCGCAAAACAAAACTACTGCGGAAACCGTGAGCAAAGCTGACCGTTTTCACGGAGAGCTTGCTCTCTTCATTGGCACCTTTCTATCATTCCGAATGCTTAGATGCAACGAAAAGCGTCTTTTCACGAATCTGACGCACCCGGGATGTGTGGAGGGAGGAAATGGGGCAGCAGCAGTGAAGCGGTCAAGATAGGTTGTGCTTAACATACGTCCCTTACTCAGTGGATGCTCGAGGGCAGTGCAAAAATAAACAGCCAAGTAAAATGGAGATTGATCAATGGAAGCGGGCTTCTTCCTGATCTTTTCCGTCCAACGCCATCTCTAGGTCGTGGCGCGCCGGTCTGACCGATGTAAACAATACAATTACTCATATATTCTTCACGCGTTGTGCGGCGCACAAAACGTTTGAAGATTTGGGTTGATGCTTGGCGTTGGTAAACTGTGACCTTTTTAGTAGTACCGTAGAAATTCCGTATTAATGCTTTCCCAATTTTTTTCTGTATTGTTTGGCCCATTTGGTCATATTTAGAAACATTTCTCCAGCAGGTAAACGCACTAATTACTCGCTGTTTCAGACCAAATTAATAAGAATGCAGAGAAGCACGGAAATTGCGCTGCAAAAAGAGAATTCTGCCTCAATAGAAATCAAATGCGGTACTGGAGGAATCCAAAGGAAGACCTCAAGAGGGGACAGAGCTACCCCAACGGGCATTCTGGGTCCCAACAGACAGGTGCTTTAACAGTCGGACGTTTCCTTGGGCAAGCCATTCCAAGGATTTAGAAAAGAGGCCGGCAAAGATGCACTTACTTTGTTTGGACAGAGTCGTTGAAATTTAGGAGCAGGTGAAGCACAATTTCCCTGTACTCGGGAAGGTAGAACAGGGTCCCTGAAAGAGACAGCAGACACCAGATAGCTCCCTTTACTGCTTCCATTCCCATTGTAAGAACTACAAGCATCAACACTGCCGTAAAGAGATGCAACTGATAACCCACTGCGTTGATTGTGTTGCTGTGTCACGTGCTGCATTGTTGCACTCTGTTTTGTCACAGGATATTTTCCCACATGCTGTTCTGTCACGATGCCAGTCACTTGGTGCAGCTACGATCAGTTATCACGCCTACATTTTATATAAAAATAATTAATGTTCATACCGACTAACCGACTAATTCAAAACATTTCGCTGCCTTTTAATTGTTTACACAAGCAAGGCCTCTTTTCAGGTTTATATTGCATGCATTGGGAGAAACATCCTTTATTTGGGAGTGTGAATATTTAAAACATAGAATAATTTGGAAGCAGTTTTTGCTTTTCAATTCAATTTGCGGAAAGTATCATATTTTCCAATGTATAAGTCATTCTTTTTTTTTTCTTTCGGTGTTTTTCTATACAATGGCGCAAATTACGTGCATTTTTGTCTTTAAGTATGGACCATAACTGTGCAAATCTGCCACGAGGGTTATATTTTTATTCGATTGGCCAACGAGAATCTTGAAACTGGCTCCCGCACACGCATTCATCACAATCATGAGAAGCATACCGTAAAATCCCAAGCAAGCACCCACTAAATATTTGGAGAGAATAGTGTATAACTGGGAGATGGGTACTCCTTAGGTCCACAATATGTAGACACATTGTGTATAAAATACATGTTGTGTATAAAATACACGTTATGTATAAAATACACAAAGATGTGTCCTTTGTGTATTTTCTGAATGTTACAAAATTAAGGGGCAAGCGCTGATTGGAAAATGGGCAAATGCTTTGTATCTTACAATATGCATGCTTACCAATGCGGCTTCGTCGTAAGTGTGACTTGCACAAAGCTGTCACACATATCAAATTTTCGCAAAAACCCACGTTTACGTGCGGGCTGCGACATATACACGAAAAAACAGAGTAAACCGTAAAATACTCAGCACCCCTCATCCTACAATAGGTGCCCACTCCTGTATTTTATAACATTTGGAAAATACACAAAGGACATATCTTTTCATATTGTTGACCATCCTCCAGTTTGCACAATCATCTCCACATTTTGAGCAGGCACACTCGGTATTTCACGATATGGGAATTTTTCAAAAGTTCAAAAATTATGAATGCCTTCAAAATTCTAATTCTTGAATCAAGTTTCACCTCGTCATGCCAACCATTTCATGTAAAGCGTCGCTGCATTTCGCTGGTATGCTCGAAGAAGCAGCTAACATAGCAAAGTGTTTTAGTCGGTTAGATGGGCTCTCACATTTTGCTCCATTTTAGGTCAACCATTTTTGGCTACGATTATAGGTCGGCCCCTAAAATAAATAGAAGTCTCGTAAAATAAGCAGTCAACCTAGTATATTCAAATAAACAAGTCGGGAATCACTATGCTTGCCGTGTAACGCAAGTTTCTCTTTCATTCACCCGTCTTTTCACTTTCTTTTCACAGGCATGTTTGCTAAAAAAAGTTTCAGCAACAATTCATAATAAAATTATTCATGCCCAATTCACAATAAACATAAAATACTAGTATCGTAAACTACTTGATTTTTGCAACTCAATATTTCACAAATTTTGCAATCTGTGTGCTTTGAGAATACTTTGCAGGCACAAAATTTTGCAATTCAGCATGGTATTCTATGTATTTGTCCCCATAGTGTAATATATCCGTGTGACCGGTATTTTTCGCTATATTTTCTAATAGCGAAATTCATAAAAACTAGGTCTTCAAAAAAATTAAGTTGTTTTAGCAGTATTTGATCTATTTCCCAATCAATCTTCAATATTTGTATTCCATCCACAGACAAAATTTTGATATTCGCACACCTCTAATTGCTATGTTAATCACAGGGTGCACAAGAAGAGGCTTCATAAATATTTCACTTGCATAACTTGCATGCCTGTTCACATCCAAGCACTACTTCGAGTCAAATTTCGACCATGATTTCTCAATCGGCAAAGACCATCTTTGTCGCATTCACGAGTGATATAAAGGGTTTAATAAGGCAACGATTACAAGTTCCGACATCTTGTTGGGTCGTGCCCAGGCCAGAAGAACCCAGCGGTGAGAATTGCTGCTCCGACGTCTCATCGACCTGGTGGCACCATCTATGAGTTGCGGACCTCACGACATTCCCCTTTCTATCAAGTCGTCTCGCTGTCTTCCTTCTATAGGTCGAGGCGACTGGGAGGTCTTGTTTGTCGTCCACTTCTTGTGCTGACTACTCCAGGCTGTAGATGACAGCTGGTGCAATGCGCGATGCCGCTGGTCGTGTCCACCACATATGAACGTGGAGATTTTGAGTAGGTTGCAACGCTGTGCCGCTTGTGGCTTCCTTCAGAGTACATCTGCCGTCTGTATCTCCTCCCCCGAAATGTGGGAGATTGTGCAATCAAACTTTAGCAGCCTCATCCGCAGACGCTGCAGACGTGGACTAAGCTCGTCCAGGTGTTTTGAAGAGAGCAGTAGTACGAGCGATTTGTGATCGGCCTCTATGTGGAATTGCACACTGAGAAGATACGAGCGGAAATGCTCGCATGCCCACGTGATTCCAAGTGCCTCCTCTTCGGTCTGTGCATACCGTTGTTTGATATCCGAGAGCAACCGTGACGCATAGGCGACAGAGAGTCATCGTCCAGACGTCTCCTAAAGAAAGACTGTCCCCAGGCCTTACAACGATGCATCTGCCGAGATTGTGAGATGATCCTGAGGATCGTAGTGCGCAAGTCCCGGTGTTGTCGTCAATGCTTCTTGGACAGAGTTTAATCTTTCTTGCTGTGGCTTGTCCCAGCACCAGTCAGCGTCATGGTGAAGCAAATCACAGAGAGGCTTTGCGGGTTGTGAGAGTCCTGGAAGAAACTTGACCAAATGGTTTGCCATTCCCAGGAACGACCTGACCTTGGACACATCACTGGGCGGCACCAGTTGAGCGAGTACAGTTATCTTCACAGGGTTTGCACTAACACCACTGGCCGAGACAACATGCCTGAGAAACTTCACCAGCTGCTTTCGGACCATGCACTTGTCCTCAGGGTTACGCCGCCATCTTGCAGGCGTTTCAGTACTTGGTGCAAGTGCGAGTTGCATTCTTCCCTCATTCTTTCGAACACAATAATATCATACTGAAAAGAGGCTTGGCCCTCAAGACCCTCGAGCACTCTCAGCATTTCATGCTGAAAGAATTCAGATGCCCTAGAAACCTCGAACAGCAGTCGAAGAAACCGAACCCGACCAAATGGTGTCAAAAAGGTGGTGTACTGTTGCCAGTGCAGCTTGCCAGTAGCCCGCTCTGGGATCAAGCTGGCTAAGCCACGTTGCTCCAGCAAGCTTTCCCAGGCATTCGTCGACTGTTGATATTGGGACTTGTTCCCCAAGGAAGCAGCTGCTCAGGCCGGCGCAGTTGACGCAGATGCGTGGTTGTCCATCTTTACTTTTGGCTACGACCATAGGTGCGCACCATTCTGTTGCTTTGTCGAGGCTCTTCATGCACTCCAGTTCTTCTTTGACACTTGGCAGCATAGGAAGAGATACCCGCCTGGGGTACGTTACTGCACAAGGCTTGGCGTCAGGCAGCAGGGATAATGAACCTTTTTTCAGTAAGCTTCTGCGCATGCGTACACTCCCGCTGTCGCCATTTTCGCAGGGCACCAGCACGTTGCCCTGCAAAAATGGCGACAGCAACATCCTATTTTCGCGCCTATTTAGACTATTTTAACACTTCGTTTTTTGGTATTAGTAGTATGGGGTATAAAAAGAACTGAAAACTGATACAACGGCACAATACCAATGTGTTTTGACGGGCGGAGGCATGTTGGGCTACTCTTCGTTTGTATGATGTAAAAATTAAATAGCGCAAAGGTTAGACAAAGGACAAAGGACAGAACATGTAGACAGGACAAGCGCTACCTGTCTAGCGCTTGTCCTGTCTACATGTTCTGTCCTTTGTCCTTTGTCTAACCTTTGCGCTATTTAATTTTTACATCATGCATATCCAACTAGCCCACCTCAATATCTTAGTACAATCTTCGTTTGTAGTTCGCAAACAACCCCCCAGACGGCGCTCGTTACTCGAAAAAGGTCCATTTGTACTCAGTGCTTCGAATCCCGAGACCCGAGGTCAGCTTTCGGTAGCCACTCGAGATGTTTGTTTTGTCGTTGACCTCGCCCGCTGATTCTGTGCCCTCCAACAGGCTGCCCAGGACTTGCAGATTCTCGATCGTAGGACACCCCAGAAGGGTGTCGTGCAGGAAGTCCACCACGAACACTTGTTCCTGGCATGATCTTCCTTTCCACTGCAAGGTCGCCATGAACTGCCTTACAGCGAAAACCTCGACTTGACCGGGTCCCAGCGGTGCTTTTGTGAATCTGGTTAGCGGCCCCGTAAATGCTTTGTTGTAGGCACAGGAAAGAATGGCCGTCACATACGCTCCAGTGTCTACCTTGAAGACTATTGGATAGCTGCTGTTGACCGATGCTGTAATCCTCCATGGTTCAGGTCTGGGCTGGTGTCTTATTTCCCCCAAGAAGAGCTCTAATGTAGCCTGTTGAGTACCCTTTGCGTCTGGTTCTTTGCAGACAGGCACACTGACACAAAGTGTCCTTTCTTGCCACACGCGTCGCATGTCTTGTCGGTTGCTGGGCAGTTCACGCAAGAATGTGGACACGCAGTGGAGCTGCACCACTTGCATGACCAGGAGACTCCTCGGTCTCATCGGTTGTTGCGAAACGGTTGCTTCTTTTTGCTTTTGGCTCGACGCGAAGAGGTGTGGACCTCGTCAACGGTTGCGCTTGGCTGCGCAAGAGGCCACAGTTCCTTTAGCTGCTGCTTAACCGTCTCAAGATTGCGCGCCGTGGAGGTGACAGTCCCTAATGCTAGTTCCGCGTTGAGCTGAAACTTGTCACTCAACTTC